ATTTGACTAACTATGCTGACATTAAAAACTGCATTCACAGTTGAAGTTCAGTTCTCTTGGTTTGTTTGGTTTCAGACCAATAGAAAAGTGATACAGTTTTATATAAAAGCTTTACACACACCACGATTTCACATATCACAAGCTATAGATATGTCACGTTCACTTCAAGTCAGCAGTCCGAAACAGGTTTTCCAATCAGCAAATATGCAAAGATACACTACAACAATGAACTTAGTGGTTTTTAAAGGATTTCAAGTTACAAAAAAAACAAGCAAGTTTTCACATTTGGAAGAGCATTGCAAACAGCAGTTGACATCAATAGTAGGGATGAAGACATTGTCTGCCAGTTTACAATCTTATTTAAAATGTCTTCTTTTTTGCTTCAACAGAACAAAAATGCAAACAAGTTTAGATCTGAACAAGTGGGGGTGAGCAAATCCTAGATATATTATAATTTTTCAGTAAACTGTCCTTTAAATCATTTAAATATTAAAGGCTGGATTCACTGGCGTTGGCTGATATTTGACTTTTCTCTGCTCAAATTGTTTTCAGCTTGAATTGATCTTGCCACTAGCCTCTTATTTATGGGATCATAATCGCTGTGAAGGCTTAGTTTGAATGGGATCATTAATCATGTGCAAAATCCTCCACATGCTGTATTTTAGTACCAGTCACGAAACAATTCAAGCAGGATATCCTACTGAAAGGTAAAGTGTTCTCTCAGCTGTCAGATATGAGGCTGAAAGGTCATTCCCTATGGCCATTCCCCTGCATGTTCAACAGTAGATATACCATTAAAACTAATGGCTTCAAATCATTTCGATATCACACCATGCCATTTATGCCTAATAATGGTGGTCCCTGTTGTGTCGATAACGTCCCTCTGGCTGGAGAAGCCCTCAGGTTTAAAGTGATGTCCATCATTACTGGAAGGTCATCAACTAGAAGCGTCATGTGGAGGATTCTTCTGGAAGTGTCGAACAGTTCTCCATCGGTCTCTTCTCTCACTTACGCTTTCTGTCTTCACTCACTCCAGCCTACAATTTCGTCATTCTCTGAATGGCACTCTCAGCGCAAGATAGTGTTTAGCGACTAATTGGTTCAAATGGAATTGATGCCTGCTGATGCCAAGGCCAGATTAACCATTTGGGGCACAAAATAACCATTTAGAGGCCTCTAACTACCTCCAGCTCTCCAAATAATAACAGGTATTACTGTAAAAGTATGTCAAAATACAAAATAAATTTGTTGAAATCTTGATCTGATTTTTTTTCTGTATGGTTATTTGTATATTAAAATAGCTCATTATAAATTTCACAATTAGCACTTTTAAAAAATATATTTATTTTAGGTTTTTTGAGTACTTTTCTTACGGCATTTGTCATTTGATTAGTTTTTAATATTCCTTTTAATTAATTCAGCCTTTTCTTTATTTACATTTTTGTCAGTCATTTTACATTTTAGAATTCGTCCTTCGGATGAGATGTTAAACCGAGGTCCTGACTCTCTGTGGTCATTAAAAATCCCATGGCACTTCTCGTCAAAGAGTAGGAGTGTAACCTTGGTGTTCCGGCCAAATTCCCTTCATTTGCTTTTACCGTTGACAGCCTGCTAATCCTGCCCAACGAAATGGCTCTACCACTATCTCTACACTCCCCCTATAGCTGGTGTGTGGTGAGCACCGTTTTCCTGTGGCTGACATCACATCATCCAGGTGGATGCTGCACACTGGTAGTGGTGTGGAGAGACCCCCGCCCCCATGATTGTGAAGCGCTTTGGGTGTATACACAATAACTGTGCTACATAAATACACACATTACATTACATTGTCATTTTAGTACTTAAAGATGCCATAGAATGATAATCTGCAGATAATTTACCTGAATAATTAGAGTCCTGTGTATGGAAATAGCATACTGAGGGTTGCAAACAATGTTGTTCCCTTATTGTCATGAAAAAAACTGGTAAAAAACAGACCAAGTGTAATAAAACACCAAATCCATGTTAATATGAACGTCACGGGCAGCATGATTGGCCTGTTATGCTTACTTGGTATGTGGGACTCTTACTTTGAAAATGAGACCAGCGTTACAGAGCTCTCACGTAATGCAACGACACAGGGAATATTTCATGTCATTACATTTTCTCTGAGAATGCAAAATCATGTTGTGTGTGTGAGCATCAGGCACTTATATAAGCTGTGTAGCTTTAGAGCAGAGCACATAATAATCATGACCATTCCAAATATGGTCACAACCGAGATTTTCATTCTAGGGGTAGTTCATGTAGTTGTTTATGGACATATAAAAAGAGTTTATGTTGAACTTTGCACTTATCCAAGTCATATACCTGCTATGTAGATATCAGAGAACAATTTAACATAGTGAATCAATGCACTTTGTGGCAGCTTTAGGTTTTAAGGTCAATGATTAGTGGGGTTTGCCGTTAGGTGACTAACACAATTAGCATTATGTTAACTGCATGCTAATAATGCTAGCAGGTCGATAAGCATTTGTAAGCATGATGCTACCGTGATTAGCATCAGGCTAGCTACATGCTAATAATGTTAGCATCATAGTAACAACTCAATTAGCAAGCTGTTAGCATGATGCTAACATGATTAGCATGTAGGGGAGAGGGATAAACAGGCTCAAGCAAGAATACAACCCAAAATCTCTCCAGAGACTTATCATTGGCACAAAATGGCTGACATCCAAAAATCCCCATAGACTTAACATTGGCACAAATTGTCTGACATCAGATATTTAGATGATGGTGACATAGAAGCTTAAAGTTGGCTCATTTGACACGGCCTATCAATTTAGTATTAGGTATAGTGACTATAGGTGGGCATAGATTTTTTTTAATCTAGATTAATTTAGATCAATCTCGGAATTAAATAGATTAATCTAGATTAGAAAGGTTTTTTTTTCTTCTTTTTTTTCCTTCACTCTCCTATTGGTTAAGTTTTTTTCCCCTCTCCGCTGTCGCCACTGGCTTGCATGGTTCAGGATCGGTAGAGCTACGCATGGATGAATTTGCTCTTCAGTGTTTGGACTCTCAGTAATGATTTTAAACCACACTGAACTGAGCTAAACTGAACTGAACTTAAACACTAAAAATTGAACTACCCTGATCCAGTTACTATGACCATTTATGTGTAGCTGCTTTGACACAATCGACATTGTAAAAGCACTATATAAATAAAGCTTAATTTAATTTAATTTAATTAAAATGGCTCATGTAAATTCTGCCAAAGGCATTCATAATATGTGTGCTACCCAAATAATAAGTCTTTAAGAACAGGTTTCTGAAGCCAGGTTACACATTAGACCGGGGGCTCATGTCCTGTTTCCAAAATGCATCAGAAACTGCTTGAGAAACTGTTCTGTTATGATAATTGGTGATGAAAATAAATTATGTTTAATAAGATGTACTTGTGTTTACTAACTTTTATTCAGTTAAACATGAATTTTTAACTGTAGTCCTACATAAGCTAAAAACAGCAATTTTTGATCACCTTAATAGTGGCATTATTGAATCAAACTATTACCATTATGTAGGACTTTTCGCCATATTTTCCAACAGGATGCACACACACGGCTGTTGGTAAAGGACTGCATGTGCGTGTACACACACAAGTTTTTTTCTTTCCATTTGGCGTGCGTTATTTAATTCATTAACACTCTCAATAGTCATTACTCCTAATTGCGTCTAATACGATGGAATGAATGAAATGTTCATGAGTTAAAGTGAAACTGCCCAACTGCAGTTAAAGTCAGGCATTCAACTGATTTGATTCAGAAAGGCACTTTTTTGTCAGACGGCTCATCGGTCAGGTATACATCCAAGCTAAAATATCAAGTGAAAGTCACCATAGCTTGTGTAGAATAGACCCAGCTTCCAAACCATAGAATAGAATAGATTAACAGCGACATTTTTTTATTGCGCGATAAGAGTCTTGCGTTGACGCAGCACGGTAACACTGATACCGGCCCACCACTAGTAGTGACATTACAAATTTGTACACACTCCCTAGCAACCCCTTATACCACCTCAACAACATATTAGCACAATCCAAAGCTCAGCACATGAACTCTATAGAAAGACAGGGTTTTTTAATTTATTCAGGCTGTTAAAATTTCTTTTGTTTTCACCTTTAAACTGCATTAAGACAGTTAACTGTAGACAACTACATCAACACATATTTGGCCAGTTCTTAGCACTCCATTTCTTTTGGGCAGTACGATAATGCACTGTACTCCAGCGATTTGTCATGGCAAACCCCACTCCCATTTTCTTTAAGAAATGTACAATTCTAGTTTAAACTAGTATTTGTATAATATTATCATGTAATGTTTCCCAGTACTGGGCATTGCACTCATTCTCTATTAAGACGTGCCAGAGTAGTTGGCGGGTCATTCCACTGTTGCAACCCACTGGTAAAGAACCGAATAAGCTGATGAAAGTGAGTGAGTGTGATTTTCAAGCAATAGTTTTTCATTTAATTTCAGATTTATCTAAAAAATGAAAATAAATTGTAATAGATTACCATGATAAAATGTATTAAATAATCTGATTGAAGAAGGGTCAGGCATATTTTTTCTAAAACTGAGTCTGGGTCAGTGGTATTTATGTGATGAATCATTCATTAGCGTGTGATTTTGAGTTATTTGAAAAAAATAGGCCCTTCTCTTACTTTTAAACCCTTTTCCACCAGAAATCCTAAAGATAAATGTAGCATGAATGCAGGTGTCTGGAGTACATGACTTAAAAAATGTCTGTGTGCACATGCGGTTATGCTGTATAGACACAGTGAGGGGTAAATTGCGCCTGAGGGCCCTGAATCATTTATCTGTGCTGCACAAGAAAAAGCAATGTGCCTCTGATTTCACTCGATTTAGCCGCTCTCTGCACCCTTTCTATCTTTTACATTCTGTTTTTCTTCCTAATCCCACTTGTGCTTTCTTTCAGTTGTTCATTCTCTCTCTTTTTCACAGGACTGTGCCACAATGCAGTTCTGTGCCAATAAGCTGGATAAGAAAGACTTTTTCGGCCGCTCTGACCCGTTCATGGTGTTCTACAGAAGTAATGAGGACGGAACGTGAGTTAGCTCTCTCTGTCTCTTTCACTCTCACTTACTCTGACAGCGAAGCTTGTACAAGGAAACGACACGTCGTCTTCTTCCTAAAAGTAATGTCAATGGAAAGACTTAGAAATGTCCAAGGAAATAGTTCTAGCAAGTAAAATCCTGTCAAACGTCCCCTGAAGTGCCGTGGAACATGTAGCTTTATTTGATGTGTGACGTTACGTGATTTCATCTGAGACATGAAGACAGAAGCTCCTCTCCATTTTTTAAAATGACCAATGGCCAGTGCTTCCAAACAGGTTTGAAATATACTTGCGGTGGTGGCTGGATTAAAACAAATCATTTACCCACATCACTTAAATAGTTAACTATACTGGATGCGACAAACAAAATATGTTTTTATTTTAATAATATTTATTATTAATATTGATTAATAAAATAGCACACTTGAAATGAACTCTGGAAAAAACCCTGGCTGAATAACTTTTTTAACTCCCAAAAAGGCGCATCTCTGTGGGTCTACAGAGCATGTAAGATTATTTGTGGGAGTGTTGAGAGTTCATGCACATGCAGAATGAAATGAGTAAATAAGAGAAGATTTTCCTATACTTAATCGATCGCGGATATTTGGTTATATTGGGCAGTTACAAAAAAGTGTAAAAGGATAATAATAATAGTAAAAGAAAGTCACTGAATATGCTTGGGGGTCTGGTAATATATTGTATGTTGGTGGCCCGCCCAAGCAAAGTCTATGTGCTGGAAGCACTGCTAATGGCATTGTGTTTATATCTCAGCTCAGATTTGTTGAGCTAATGCAGATTTGAATGAGTTTCACAAACTGTTGTCTGTATAATCCTTTATGAATTCAAGTTAGTCTGAACTGTTTGTGGTCTGCACAACTTAGATTATTAGTTGAGAGCAGACCATGTGTGTTACTGTGTCTAATAAATGTGGAGTATTTAATATTAACACTGTAATAACTACCGTGTATTATATTTTTAGATTTTCAAGTGTTTTGATAAACCCTTGGTATGAACACTTGGTTAAATGTGAATAAGTGACTGATTTCAGTTGCTTCTTGTAGGCGGTGGGGCGATTCAGATACAAGAGAGTGTTTGATTGGTTAGACAGATTGGTTAATGAGAATTTCAAATGCTCTGTGATGTAAAAAAACTATTGATTCTTATTGGCTGTTTTGACCGTCTAGGAGTCAATCACAACAGAAACGAAAAGAGAGCCACACCAGAGAGATATTGAATTTATCAAGCTTGTTTATTTACATGAGATAAGGGGTCCATTTTTCGTACGTGGATTACTCAATTAGCTGGTTTTGGATATTGACGATTTGACACGGTCCAGGATCGTTTCGTTCTTCAAAACTCATCTGAGAGTTTTTGTCATAGCAACTGTTCTGGTAGCTCAAACCTGCTTGTGAGCAGGTTCATTTCATATAAACAGCATTAGATCGGGTCAGTTCAAGCAAAGATAATGCTAAAAGTATGTACCAAATGCTGATATTTTCTTATAGTAGTAGTTATAGGCACTTGGAAAAATAGTAAATATATATTTTTTAACTATATAAATATAAAAAATATATATTAATAAAACTTCTTATTAAGTTAAACTTCTGCAATCTGCACTCTGAAAAAAATATCAAGTCTTCCACTTGGTGGTTAAAAGTGAAAATTGATTAATATGAACTTTTTAGAGTTTTTTTAGAGTATGCACAATATTCGACTTTTATAAACAAAAGAATAATAATTTTTGCAGTCATGCAAGTGTTTTGACTGCTAATATGCTGGTGAATTAATGCTTTGCAAAAGTTGCAGACACCTTTACTGATATCAAAATGCCTTTTTGATGCAAAAATTATTCATACAGTTATTCCTTATCCCGATTAAAAAACGTGAGTAGGCCTAGGCTACTAAAATAAAGACAATTTTCTCTAAATGTAGACCTAAATATATTGATTTGCATGAAAATACATGATCAATCCTCTTGACACATGAAAGTGTAAAACCTGCAGCTCACAACAAATATGAAAAGTTATTGCGTGTCATATTTAACAAACCGTTTACTGCTAATTTGATGTAATTTTGCTTACATGAATAATTGAAGATTAATGATTTAATGAAGATTAAAGATTAAGGATGTCATTACGCTGCTGTGCCGTCAGCCAATTGTTGCATTGCTGATCATAATTTCGAAGATCGATAGATCTGTCCTTCATAACACACACAGCCATCTCAGACCAGTTCATCCAGATATTTTAATCTGATTTGCAAACTTGTTAGTCAAATTAGCCAAACCAAATTAGCCAGAGATCAGTTATCAAGATTAACAGATCCAGGATCTGCCAAATCATCTTAGATCATTTAAGCGAGGTACAAAGAACGGACCCCAGGATATAGCTTCATTGGTAGAACAGGCCAAAAATAACAAACAAAAATATCTTTGTTTGCCAACTACCTTACCTAAATAAAATAAAAATGATGTGAGAAACTGTAACTAATTGTAACTATAAGTCTTCTAAATGTACATTTTTATCTTAGTTTTGGAGCACACTAGCTTTTAACACTAGCTTTTTTTTTTTAATTAGGGCAGGCAGTCTTCCAACTTCCTGAATGCAGTATAATAATTTAATGCATACTGCTTTGTTTGAGATTGACACATTTGTGTTTTTATTCCTTAGGTTCACTATCTGCCATAAAACGGAGGTGGTGAAGAACACACTGAACCCCATCTGGCAGCCGTTCACCATTCCTGTCAGAGCGCTCTGCAATGGAGATTATGACAGGTGCTCTCACACAACACACACACTCTTGCATGTCAGCACGCAGTGATGCTTGTGCGTCTATCGCCACTGTTAGCAGGTCCTACTCTCTAGCTGTGTGTGTGCGTAAAAATCCTGCGTGTAAAATCTTTCTTGTGGTTACTAGTATATAATATTTTTATTTATTTAATTCTGACCAAATTTAAAACCTTAAATAACATAAACTTAAATCACAGAAATATTATTTTATGTTATATTATATTATATTATATTATATTATATTATATTATATTATATTATATTATATTATTTAATATTATATTATATTATATTATATTATATATTATATTAATTCTATTATATTATATTACATTAATTATATTAATTATATTATATTATATTATATTATATTATATTATATTACATTATATTATGTTATATTACTAAAATATTACCTAATAATATTCTGTTATAGCTTGATTTGACATGCAATTGATTGCTTGCATGCTAGCATGATGTTTCTTATTGCTAATGCTGTTATTGTGGAGATGTTTGGGCATGCACTATGCAAATTAATCTGTTGTCCCAAGCACCCATATTTATGCTTTTGGGTTTAAAAAGGATCAACATTTGTATTCATACACACATGTGAATCATTCAGAAATTTACCATGAAAACACGAGACCCAGCATACTGTATGTCTGTGTCGAGAGGGATCGTGTCCCTGTGCTCTTTGATTCAGTCGTACATTGAGACCAGACTGCCGGTACTCATTGCATCAGCATTATTTGATCACACACAGCCCTGTTCACCAGGCTGTACGCTTGTGATTTATGTGCTCTACAAGGACACATTATTTTTGCTTTGTACTTTCTGGGAATCAGATATTTGTGTATGTATTTGTGCTGCATTGTTTTTTTTTTTCTTTTTTTCGGTCTCTGTGGACTTACAGATCACAGCAAATCTGGTCTATTGGTTTTACATGAGATTTGTCTTACCAAAGCCAAAACTGCAACTAAAATGATCAAAGTAACTTATTAATGTGCTTTAAAAATCAGCAGAAAACAATGAAGGTATTAGGCGAAAATTTAAAATACAATTTTCAAATTGGGAGAAATCAAGAAACCTATTTGAAACTAGGGATGTCCCGGTCAGTATTTTTTTGCCTTCGAGTTTGAGTCCGAGTCATTTGATTTTGAGTATCTACCGATACAGAAAACCTCATCTGATACTCCTATTATACATAAAAAATAAAGTAGAGAGAAGAAACAGAGAATGTTTTTTGTGTTTTATTTAATTCACCTTATTTTATTATTCAACAACTCAGTTAACAAAGTATCGTCAATGCACCGTGATGCACCGAGATATCAAATCGAACTGAATCAATGGCATAATAATCGTAACCAAACCGAACTGTAAGACCAGTGTATTACCGAAAATTTAGCTTATCCAATTCACCTTTACCGCATGTCTTTGGACTGTGGGGGAAACCAGAGCACCTGGAGGAAACCCACACGAACGCAGGGAGAACATGCAAACTCCACACAAACGTCAACTGACCCAGCCGAGACTTGAACCAGCGACCTTCTTGCTGTGAGGCGACAGCCCTACTTACTGCACCACTACGTCGCCCATATATATATATATATATACACACACACACACACAAGTCCTGATTGGGAATCCGATTGGGATCTGATTCTGATCGAGTCTGAAACCGCGTAATCAAGCCCGATTTCCATTCACGCAATCATATCTGGACATCCTTATCTGAAACATTTAGTTTAGTTGAATATTTGGCAGATCTGGATTTTTTATTGGATGTTAACATTTACAAAAACTGTTTTGTAAACATGTCAATATATATTGTCCATATACACTGAGAAATTAATTTAAAAATAGTCATATTTGAAGCTGCTCATGTATGCATGTAACTGCATGTACTTATCACTGTGCGACAGACACTTTGTTGTGTTCATGGGTATGTGGCAGGGGTGTGTGTGTGTGTGTTGGTCAGGATAAAGCTTGCAGACAATTTGGCAGCTGTGTGTCGTCTGAGAGCTGTCATAGCCAATCAGAACACAAGGAACAGAAGCACCTGCCATCCAGTGCCCACCTGGCCTCTGATCCTGTGTGTGTGTGTGTGTGTGTGTGTGTGTGTGTGTGTGTGTGTGTGTGTGTGTGTGTGTGTGTGTGTGTGTGTGTGTGCACAACAGAGAGACTAAAGAGAGAGAGAGAAGTGAAAGGGGAAACTCCAGCTGTTGTGGTGCTGTGCTAATTATTACCTGCTGTAAGGACTCCAGCAGAGAGGAGTATTTATATTCCTTTTTTTCAACAGAAAGGGGTCTGTAATAAGAGTTTTAGATGCTAATATATGGGTTTCAAGTCAGAATGGTACATAATAATAATGACTTTCAAGCAATGTGTCAAAGAGTCTTGATATCGCGGCATTCATTTAAAGATCGCATGAAATGGAATTGTAATATACAGCATATCTGTATCTTTAAAGAGAAGAGAAAAGGGAGCTTCTTTTAGCTTGTTGGGAGTTGATTGGATGCTTGGAATGTTGTGGTTTGCTATTGGTTGACACTGCCCTCATGCCATTAAACACTTAATAAAAGAGAAGGGACAAAGTTATTTTGATAAAAGGTCACAGAGGTATATAGTTTGGCTGTATTCTAGAGTATGTATACATATTTTGCATGCATACAGTACACTTGCACGGGTTAAGGTTATGCTGAGTTCACTGCATGATTTTCTAAGAAGTCGTGTCACGGATGTTTTCACACTGCATGACTATCTGGGCTAGCGTTTCGTCACTGCTTAGTTTACACTGCAAGATGGATCAGTGACAGGGGGTTTCACACTGAATGACTTTACAATAGAAAGAATCGCCGACAACTTTGTGTGTCCTCACACTACTTCTCTTTCAACCAAACACACGCAAGAAGTGACATGAAAACAACGCGAGGTCACGTTCTGTATCTTTGGTTTTTAACTACACCACACGAGAGCTCCTGACAAATTTTCACTAGTTTTTCCTCCATATTGAGAGTCCAAAAAGACTGAAAAGAAGCACTTTTAACTCTTAACTTCATCCTCCCGCTGTCTTGAAGATAGCCCTACTAGTCGATGCTGCTCTCTCATTGACTGTAGGTAATCGCCAATGTTATTTTCAATCAGAACACATTTTTAACGGCATGATTTGAATCGACTCATCGGCGATTCTCTCAGATCGTGTCTTCTATAGTACACACTGTTTGATTTTTCACTCGCATGAACAGGCATCAATTTGCCTGTGATTTCAGGCATTTGTCTGTGATTTCTCAAAACCTTTTGGCGAGTCAAAATCGGGACTAAAATGATGTAGTCAGAATTCAGCATTAGGGAGAGTGCCAAGTTTTAATACTCAGTTTATGTAATGTTTATAAAAAGTATGAAGTATCAACAATCTAAATGTTTCACATGTAACTACTCAGTGTTGGGTAAGTAACTTAAAAAAGTAATAGATTACAAATTACTGACTACTACTGGAAATTGTAATCTGATTACATTACTACTTTCTTAATGTAAAAAAGTAATCAGATTACTAATTACTTTACTTTGTAATGAAAACATATTAAACCTATAAAAATCCAAAATAAACTTTAGCTCTTTTAGTAATTTTATATTCAATGAAAACCAAGAGTTGATCACAGCAGCTTGACATATTGAAAAGACTTAAAGAGATAGTTCTCATCATTCACTTGTTTTTTTTTTTCTTGTACACAAAAGAAGACATTTAGAAGAAAACTGGATACCTGTAACCACTAACATCCACAGCATGAAAAAGCACTGCAGTGTTTGGGTGTTCTGTGTTTGTCTGAGGTAATTAGTCTACCGAAATGTGTATACTCCATACAAAGTATGAAACTGAACAGTCAGTTCTTGTCATGTGACTCGCGGTTTTCATCTAGGGGCTTCTGGAAAATGCGAGCACTCGTAATATGTGCTCCTAATATGCGCCGTGCCTCCATTGGAAATAACAAACTTGTGTGTGCAAAAGATTAGCAGTTACATTTCTCTTAACATTCAGAAGATACCTTTACTTCCGATCCTTGGATCCAAAAATCCAATTTAGCCTGTTTAGGCTGAGTTGGGCTGCCATGTTTTTGGGTGGCGATATCCTCTATGGTGACAAGTATTGTCGTAGGATGCTTTATGTTCAAGTGCTTGAACAAGATGCTGGTCGAGTTAAAAGCAGTTGAAAGTTCTTTAGAGACTGGACATAGACAGTGCATGCTTTGCATTTCACAGCAATATTTTAGTTTTTATGCTCAATGAAATTAATGTCTGTATTTCCACTTGAGGAACCACTCTCGACAGCAAGCGTTTCAGCTCACGTTCTCCAGCATTTTAAAACCACATGCTTATTAACTGACATTGCAGCTGAAAACATGACTTAAAAGAAGCATTTTTTTTCTGAAAAACTATATTTGTTACGTAAGTAACACAATTGCATTGACTTTAGTAACTGTAATTAAATTATACAAAGAAAATCTAATTTGTTACATTACTGTTCCCCAAAATTGTCATTAGAGCACAGTTACATGTTTTTGTGGAACACATTAAACCCAACTCTGTACATACACATCTGTACATACTTTAAACTGACGTAACACATTTAAAAAGCTCTGATTGGTCATTGACTTCAAGTTATCATCAGATAAGACTGTGATTGGCTACAGTGCTCAACACCAGGGAAATCTGTTAGAAATAAAAGATGAGTCTTAATTAGACTGCAGTTTTCCAGAGGAAATATACCACAGTGGTGTATCCTGGTGAATCTATGCATGGTTTGACTTATAAGCATATTAAAAACCTTAGATAGACATTGTTAAAAACTTGATTTTTACAACAGCGTATCATGTCCAATTTTCAATAAGGAAACTCAATTTTAATATATATATATATATATATATATATATATAAAGGCTGCTTGATTATAAGCTAAAGCAGTTCAATAAATTCATATGCATAAACCT